TTTGTCTCTTATTCACTGTGTAATCAGGATGGCTGCCCCGTGATCCTCAGGGAGTCTCTTGTCTCCGCCTCCCACCTCATTTGAGGATCACACACACACACACACACACACACACACACACACACACACCCCATCATCTTGCCCTGAGTTCTAGGGATTCAAACACTGGCCCTCACACATATGTGGCCAGTGCTCCCCCCACCCGTGCCATCTCCCCTGCCCCGTTGTCCCCTTTTTTCCCATGTAAGAAACAAGCACAGTTCTTTTTCATGGACCCTGGAATGAATGCTGTTATCAGATCGCGAGTATTGTTTCTAAGATGTTTGTCTCTAGCTTCTGTCTTAAAATGTGATTTTTCACATTTCTCAAAAACTTCCAGCCCCTTTAAGAATGTCTAAGATTCAGAGGTTGGAAGCCCCTCTTCAAGCCAGCTTGTGCGCCCCTTGGTCCAGGGTTTGCCCAAGGACCACCTGAGGTGTTTGTTGGTACATGGAGCTTTCCAGAGATAGTGCTTGGTGAGCAAGAGGCTGTGTCCCATCTGTCACAGTGCTTATCTGTGAGGCTTTCCAGAGAGAAGGGAGGAAGGAATTCTGTTAGAGGACTGGACATTCTTTTTAATTTTTAAAATGTTTTTTTCATTTATAAAATTAAAATATAATTGTATCATTTCCCCCCTTCCTTTTTTTCTCCCTCCAACTCATATTGTGCTCAGTCCTTCCTCATTCCCTTTCAAATTTATGGCCTCTTTATCTTTAGTTGTTATTGCTACACACACATACATACACATACACACACACAAATGTATAAATACAACTTGCTCAGTCCATTGAGCATTGCTTGTATGTTTACGATGATTTCAGGACTGACTATTTGGTTTTGAGTAACAGTTAAGGGCTCATTCCTGGCGAAGGCCGATTCTCTTGTTCCAGCATACTTCGTTGCCTGTGGACTCTTTAGCGAAGTTGTCTGCTCACCTCTCCCTATTTTGCATGAAGATAATTCTGTTTCTGTGTTTGGTTTGCCTAGCTCGAATATGCACACCTTTCTTTCCCTGCTGGCTGTCTGTCTGTTGGGGAGTGTGAGACCATCAGGGAGGTTTGTCCAGTAGAAAAGGAGGTAGCTAGAGGAGTCAGAGTTAGGGCATGAGGCCAGCAGGCCGAGGGCAGTGGGTATGTGTCTGTCATCCCAGCCCACACCGTGCTAAGCCTTCTGGCAGCCCGGGAAGAGGGAAGCTGGCTCTGTGGTGGAAGTTGCAGGGCTGGTGAGAAGTGAGACTGCTGTGTTAGTGCTGGTTGTGTTTGCCCAGGGGCCATGGTTTCCTGACACTGGGCCTGGGACATTCTTCTTTAGACCCTCCTCAGTCATACCTTCACCTGTCTTGGCCGTGGCCTGCTTAGTATGACAAACGTGCTTTGGGTGGATACATACAGAAGAGAACTGAGCCCATGAGAGTGCTCCTACAGAGTCTGGTATGGTAGGAAGCAGAGTGAGCATGCTCCATACCCATCTCGTTATCTCTTAGAGGGACAAACCCATAGGCTTGGGGTTGGGGGAGGGGAGTCCTTGTGAGGGGCACTGTGTGTCCAGTGCCTTGCTTTGGCTGTTATGTGCAGGAATAATAATTTTCTGTGACAGCCACAGAAGCACCCGGCACTGATCTGTCTTCCCTTTGTATGGAGGTGAGCAGGCAAGAGCCCAGTAGGGCCCGGGCTCCCCAGAAGCTATGTGAGGCCCCCTGACATGTCCAGGGCCCCAGGATTCTGACGGGCTATGGTAACTGGAGTCTGAAAAGTTTCAAGAAGGGCTTATTTATAGTGGTCAGAAGAGAAGGTAGAGTAGAAAACTAGAGTACCCGAGTACCCTTAGAAACATACACTTAAGTCACATTGCATCCTTGTCCATCCTCAGCCCTCAGGTCATTCTTAACTGGACAGGATCTGGCATCTGTTGCTCTAGGAATAATTGACTTGTGTCTATTTGAGAGAAGTGCCAGGCTTTTCCTAAAGACACGAATGCCAAGACCACTTTCAGAGTCTTCTGAACAGTAAACAGCTATGCAGGGTTAGGTCTGTGTCTGAGAGGAGCTGGGTCAGAACACACTCATTCTTGAACACTGCCTCTGGTCTAACCTTCTGGGCACACTTGACATGAATGCCATAGACAAACCACCCTGAGCTTGGCATAGCAGTGCCCGTGAGTCTGGTCTCTGACAGTCACACCTTGTCCCAAGGGTTTCTCCACATGACAACAGAGGAAAACAACATGGTCAGGACACTGACCTGGGGATCTCGATGTAACCAGTCACCTAGAAGGAGGCTGGTGCTTAGTAGGGCTGCAGTCTGGGTGCTGAGGACTCTAAAATCCCTGTCTTAGTAGGGCTGGAGTCTGGGTACTGAGGACTCTAGAATCCCTGTCTTAGAGCTGCAGTCCGGGTGCTGAGGGCTCTAGAATCCCTGTCTTAGAGCTGCAGTCCAGGCGCTGAAGGCTCTAGAATCTCTGTCTTAGGGCTGGAGTTCTGGGTGCTGCGGACTCTAGAATCCTTGTCTCAGTAGAGCTGGAGTCCAGGTACTGAGGACTCTAGAATCCCTGTCTCAGTAGGGCAGGAGTCCAGGTGCTGAAGGCTCTAGAATCCCTGTCTAAAAAAGGCGTCAACAGCAGCCTGCTTTCTCCCACTCTCCGATCTCTCAGAGCTCCCACTATCAGGTGCCTTTCCACCAAGCCCAAGCAAGGACCAGATGGCACACTTGTGGTTTGCTTTGCCCAACACCCCTGTTACTAGGTGGGCTCCATGAGAAAGGGACCTCTTGTTTAATGTAGTTCTCTGTTGAAGGGAGAACTGGGGAGAGCTCCAGGGATGGTCAGGGTATGGCCTTGGAGGACCTCTTTCTACTGGAGAGCTCTGGAAGGTCCTACCCAGAAGTGTTCCACATCTGACCTGCAAGCGCCCTCCAGGACCCTCCCAAAGACATCTGGCTGGGGACTGCAGTGGCCACTCAACTGTGCTTTCTCATGCATGGCCTTGTGGCTCTACTCTTGTCATGGCCTGTCATGTGTTGTCCCTGAAGGTCCTCAGCTAAGCTCTTGGAATAGTGAGGGCTTCCTGTAGGGTTTCCCAAGTCTATGGGCAGGTTATTAGAGGGAAATTTTCTACAAATACTCAGGTTGGAACTGGAATAGGTCGCAAGGCAGAAGACCGGATCTGAGGTGGCTTCGCAGGACTCTGCTCTTCTGCCTCTGTCTCTACTGCCTACTCTGCAAATCCTGCCTCAGCCACTGTGGCCTCAGCTGGTGTGGGAGACCCTCACTGGTATGGGAGAGCAGTGAGCAGAGCAGACCCGCCATAACCTGGGCTCTCTGGCCTAGGCATGTACGACATCTCTTCCTCATAAACGTGTGAGGGGTTTTCTGGCTGAGGAAATGTGGCCGCACAAGGCATCCCAGAAGGCAAGGTTGGGGACTTGGGGCTCCTTGAAAGAGGATTTTTATTTTCTTTATAGTTTTCTCAAATGATATTTTCTGTCACAAAGTTAAATGAGTGCAATTTCGCTTTCATTGTCCTGAATAATATTCTGTAGCCTGAGAGAATAGAACTGTTATCTTTCATTGTAACAGCTGGACGGTTTAATGATTCTTGCCCTTCTTCACTCATCAAACATCTGATCCAGTCATGTGACAGAGCTGGAGTCCTCATGGGGGGGGGGGGGGGGGGGGGGGGGGGGGGGGCGGTGAACTCATTTGAAAATGTTTCCCCAGGTGATTTGATATGCTTTCTTCCCACGCCGCCCTTCTGAAGGGGTTCCAGTATGAACGGAAGGCCCGGTTGGGGTTGGTTATTAAGTCAAAACAGTTGAAGATCAATGTTAGTGATTTGTCAAGAGCCAATGTTGGTTAGCACAGCTTTCCTGGTTTCTTGGCTCTTGTGAGGGTTCTGCTGGGGTCGGGGGTGAGCGGGGTGGGGCAGCGCAGGCATGAGTAGCTGTGTGCTTCCGGCTGTTTACAGTGGAGGAAAGTGCTGAGGGAGGCATTGGTGGCCTGCTCATGAGGAAAACATACAGCCTAAGGCTCTTGGCTAGTGAAAGGTCTCACCTGAGGGAGTCAAGGAGGACACAGTAGACAATCAGACATGTTGGGGACTCCTTGAGGAGTCAGGTCCCAGACGGCATGGTAGAGCTCTGAGGAGAATCGACTCATGAGGCAGGAGTGGAGGCCCTCTTTATAGGACTCTGAGGAAGGAGGAAGATGTCTCAGAAAGATTCTGCAGCCAGGCTGTCTCTGATTCCCCTTCAAAATGAAAAAAAAAAATACAGCTCTCATCTTAAAGGAAACAGAAAACTGGAGCCCAATTTGAGTGACCATGTCCCAGAAGTGCAGATGTAGGTTACCCCAGATTCCATGTTCCAACATGAAAGCGGTTTCATAAAGCTTGATGGTTTTACAGAACAAAGGAAGCCATCAGTCAAGGCAAGTTTAAAGTACAGTGGTGGGCACATCAGAGAGTTGGCTGCAAGGAAATGGGGAGCTGTTCTATAGCCCCAGATGCTGTCTGATGGCTGGCTCTGCTTTGGTGGAAGCTAGGCATTTTCTAAGTTCATAGTTTACAAGGGGTTTTTAGCCATTAGTCACAGGATGTTAGTTTTGGCACAGAGGTGGGCAAGGAATGGCTCTATAGAGGGCTCACGCTGGCCTGGGATAGGTAACTCACCTCAGGAGCTGCAGCTTCCCAACCTCTCCACATCACTACTGTTCTCAGCAGTCTGTGCAGACAGTTCCTTGCCAGGAATTTTTGTGGACTCTTTGCAGACTTCAGAGACGTGGGGAGGGGTGTGCTGCTACTGGTAGCCCCGCGAGACTGGGAGAAGGGAGAGCTGGTGCTTCGGTTAGTGTCTTACCTCTGCATCAGCCTTAGTCACACAAGCAGGCCTGCTGGGGAGCCGTTACTAGACAGTCACAGGCAGCTTGGTCTCACCCAAGGCCGCTCACCATCTGCTTTTGTCTTTCAGAATGTCGTTCTTTCTGGAGGTTCCACGATGTTTAGAGACTTTGGACGTCGTCTACAGAGAGACTTGAAAAGAGTGGTGGACGCCAGGTTGAAGCTGAGTGAAGAGCTCAGTGGGGGCAGAATAAAGGTAGGGGCAGTGTGCGGGCCCTCTGTCCTCCACACTAGGGGGCAGCTAGGTTGGATGGTCGTGTTCATTGGAGGATGTTGCTAAGATCACTCATCCCCTCTTCTGCAAGATCAGGCATGGGTGTGTTTGTGCGAACAGGGTGCTACCGAGGCAAGATGGATTTATGGTGAGGGAATGTCCTTGTGAAAGGGAGACAACTCGTGCATGCTAGGCTGTGCCCATCACGGCTCTCAGCCACTGGGGTGCCACCTGGGCCTCTCCCTGAGATGGGCGTTGCTAGGGAAGTGAGAGCAAAGAGCCCTCTGCCGTGAGGGTAGCTGTTGCGGTGTTTATTTTGTTGTAGTGTTTGGGGGTTCACTTTGTTATTGACCTTGATAAGCTATCTGGTTGTTTAAAGCCGTCAGTCGGGTTAATTGTTTGTCTTAGTACCAGAAGAGAGGGTCTCGGTCAGGCACGAGCACGTCCTCCTGAGTCTCCTGGGGCTGGCACTGCAGTGTGGCTGAGGCCGTCACTAGAGGAGCCCACAGTTTTTCTTTTGACACACGGGCCGATAGGATGTACTGTGCAGACTAAATGCAGTTTTTCTTTTGCAGCCTAAGCCTGTGGAGGTGCAGGTGATAACACACCACATGCAGCGCTATGCCGTGTGGTTTGGAGGCTCCATGCTGGCCTCAACCGTAAGTCCCTTTTCATATGACTGTTACCTTCTCATTTGCTCGTCTCTGTCGGGTTTGGATAAATACTGCCTATGAATTAAACACCACGTGTTCTGTTTGCATGGCTTTAAACAGACTAAATTCTGTTCGATATAAAAATGTTAGTTATCAGTTCAATTGTGTATCTCACTCACAAGCACCCTGCTAATTGTGGGTTGCAGATAAACATGTGTACATGAATCTAAAAGTAATCTAGAGCACCCTGTCTTACTCCTGTGTGTGTGCACATGTGTGCACATGTACGTGCAGGAGTGTGCAAATTGTGTGAGGAGGCCAGAGGTCAATATTGGATCCTCGTCAATCACTTTTTCTCTTTGAGTCAGCTTTCTCTCCAGGACCTGGCTCCCCAATGAGCCTAGGCTGGCAGGGATCTCGAGGGCTACATCCAGCAGGAGGATTAAAGGTGTACATTGCCATGCCTGGCTTTCCCTAGGGCGCATGGATGGGCTCAGGTTCTCATGTTTATATGACAAGCATATACAACTGAGCCCTCTCCCCAGCACCTTCTTGGGTCCTTTCCAAGTGATTATTTTAATGTATTAATATTTCCCCCTTGAGTTTGTTAGCAGCTATTTTTAGTTCAGGCTAACAAATATTTGATCCCAATAAGTGGAAACTGAGTAAATTTGGTGTTTTCCAGTGCTGGGGACTGCCGAGGGAATTTTTAAAAGTGAAACAAACTTGTGCCTGAGTGTCACCCAGTGGTTGGCAGAGGGCCTGCTGGATGAGGACAGCCCTTCTCCTTTGCTCACTGGTTTCCTCTTCTCCTGCTCATTCTCTCCCCCCCCCCCCCGCTGCTCCTCCTGCAGCCGGAGTTCTTCCAGGTCTGTCACACCAAGAAGGACTATGAGGAGTACGGCCCCAGCATCTGCCGCCACAACCCCGTCTTTGGAGTCATGTCCTAGTGTCTGCCTGGGCACCATCGTCTGACAGTGTCGTGTTGGG